TATATATATATATATATATATATATATATATATATATATATATACATACATACACACACATACATATATATTGTGTGTGTGTGCGCTTGCGCGTATTATATGTATGTGCGTGTATATGTGTGTGTGTGTGTACACATTCGCGCGCACATACATACACACACATAGTAACAACTAGAGTACCAACAAACAAAGGAAAGGTTAAATCGTTTCCTATTATCATAGTTTTACATCTAGGGTGGGCCTTAATCCTTATCTTTTTGCATTGGTTATGGACCAACATACTAGATATATTAAGGATAAAGTCCATGGTGTTTATTATTTGTTGTGAATAGTGTTAGTTGACGAAACTGGAAAATGTATAATTTCCAAAGTATAAAAGTGAAGACAAGTTCTCAAAACTAAATGTTTTAAAATTAGGAGAACAAAAATAGAATACACGGAATGTATTTTTAATAAAACTAATAAGAACAAAGAGCTTATAGTATATATTGATGGCCAAAAAATATCTAAATATAATCACTTTTTTATTTAGGATTAATCATTCATCACAATGGTGCAATTGAGGATGATGTTGCACCCATTGAATCAAATCGGGATTATAAAATACCTATGTGACTAAAGACAAAATTCACAGTTATAAGAGTAACAATGATTTATGGATTAGAATGTTGGGCAATTAAAAAATAACCTATGCGAAAAATAAGTATAGCGAAAATGAGAATGAGAATGTTATGATGGTTATATGGATAAATACTGAAAAATAGGGGAAAATGAGTATCCGTAGTAAATTAAAGGTTACTCCTATTGAAGATAAAGTGAGAGAGAATCGAGTAAGATAGTTTGGTCATGCACAACGGAGAACTCTAAGTGTACCGGTTAGGAAAAGTGTTACTATTATAGTTAATGGGGTAAAAAGATCTAGAGGTAAACCTAAGAAACCTTGGTTGGAAGTAATTAAAAAGGAAATGATAATTGTTAACTTAAAGAAGAAGACACATAATCGAAAGGAATTGAAGAGAGGGATTCATATAGCCAACCCCAAACATTGGATAAAGGCCTTGTTGTTGTGTTATTGTTGAATAGCTTTCCTATCTTCTTCTTCTAATACACTAGAGATGCTAAAGAATGACGATTGTTAAAGTATAAATTGATAACCCACAGCCCTCATCAAACATCCCAACTACTGGATTTCGGTATAATGACAAACTTCTTCGACATAGTATTGAGCAACCCAATCAATTCCCACCAGCCACGAATTCAAATAGATTTATTCTTTTAAAAAACTAATATCACTATGTGAGTTCATGTTTCGACCCATAAAAAGGATTGTCAATCTGCAAGGACATGTTAGAGCATAAAAGCACAACCCTTAACCTATGTTGCATGGGTACTTCTATTTGGAGTTGTACTCATGTCATAACCATATCTAACACCGAAACTTCAATAAGGACTCCTTTGATATTTGCATACACTTGTTCAACTGTGTACTCAATTATACAATATTATAATATAGCATATTTTAATTTAAAATACTCGTCATATACTTATTGGATATATATCCTGCACTTCATACACGATTCTTGAAACTTGTTGTACATAGATTAAGTTTGTTTCAACACGTACCTAGTTCACAAATATGATTATAAAGGTTTTCTGGGTATCAATTTAAAAAACGAGCAATTTTCTAATTCATAACTCTATAAAATGAAAGACGTGTATAAATGTTATAGGAATTTAATTTCGTAACACATGAAATAAATAAAAAATATTGTTCTCATGCAAATTACTATTATGTATAAGAGTGTGTGTAGTCATGTCCTCATACCATACTTACAATTGGCTGTGTCAATATCTGTCCCTGTATCCATGTAGCTTGGTACTCAAACCTCACCCCAACTTTGGAGTATTGGTATAGTGGCAAGGTTCTTTTAAAATACTTTATAGAAAGACTTAATGGATCTGAGCGGAGAGCATATACCTGAAATTTGCTCAAATTATGGTAAACCTTAATAGTTCTCTTTTACCGGTAGTACCACATTTACCGTGAGCTACTGACCTATTGAGATAGATGATGGTGTAGATAGATAGATGGAGAGAGGGTGGGGGTGGGGGTAGGGAGAAGAACTACTTGAAACCTATTAGAATTTGCTGATTAAGATAAATAACTACTGATTTTGAAAAAGGCATGTCATTATAATAATGAGTAATGACTCAAGCAAAGTGATGAGAAAAGAGACGATTAGCTTCACAGATTAAGTATGAAACATTGAGAGAAAAATATTTTACTTTGCTCGAGAAACTATATGAGACAAAATGCATGATGTAAAATAAACTCCTTAATCAAAATTAAATTTAAGGGGAATTGCACAATTCATATTGCAAAACAAATAAAGGAAAAGAAAACCTTTGAGTTGGCCACATCTTCGAAAATTCTAATACCTACAAGGAAGAAAATGAACTATTAGAGCAATACAAACGCCACCAAAGTGAATTTAATAATTCAGAAAACAAAGAATGACACACTCAAGGCTGAAAATCTTCATTAGTTTTGAATTATTGATAATATGAAACTAAGCAAAACCAGCATACAACCAAAAAAAATTCCCGTTAAAGGTATACAGCTCTTAACACATACATGATATGTTAGGAGACTGAATCGGAAAGATCATGACCCTCCATAACCAACTGATTGGATTGGACAAAGTATATCATATCATGTATGATCTATTTACCATATGCAGTGTTTCAACAAATTTTTTATAATCGGACTCGGTGTTTTCAAAGGCGTGCGCCTCATGCGCCTTACGATGCGGGGCGGTGACGAAGCGCCCCATATCTGATGCAACAGCGCCTTTTGCGCCTCGCGTACATCCTTACTTTGTGTAGGGTGCATATAATACATATCCTCATATAGTTTTATTTGTTAACATTTCATTCAAGTCTTTATACTTGATATTCCATATCCCAAAAAGTAAAATAAATCCATTAGGTCTTTTTAATAGCCTTCAATTGAGGACAATTGTTAATCCTTTGCTTGGAAATTAATCTTGATTTAACATTTGATTTAAAATTTTATGAATTTTGCTACTATGTTGGGTGTTAGCATTAGAAATTAAGGCATTATATTGTGATTTTGTAGTAAGATATTATTTATCATGATAGTTTTCATGTAAATTCTAAAAACATGTTCTTTCGCGTTTGATTACATATATTGAAAAATTATGTGTGCGGTGTGCGCCTCGCATCACTCGGGTGCACGCATCACGTTGCGCCTTGCGCATGTGCGCGTAAAGATGCTTTGCGCCCCGCATTGCGCTTCGCGCATTGACAACACTGATCAGACTAGTAAACCTTTAACATGCACCACACTTTCATATGCAATTAAGAAATGATTGATTTGTTATGCTGGTATCCTACTCTCCCTTGTTAGTATAGTATACCACATCAGTAAGGTGGTAGTAACCGATTTGGTATCAGCTATCACTATCAGCAGAATGCAGGGTTGACCACTAGTATTCCCCATCTATAAAGGTGGAAGTGCAATTTCCTCAAGAAACAAAGAATTGATACAATGTCAATTTTGAAGCTCAGTACAGAGAGGAGAAATTATTACATTATAGTAGATGCTTTAATAAAGTTTCACTATACTTTTTATCATTTTCATATTGTTTCTTTAACTTGTACTCCTTGACCTCTAACTTTCAAACAGAATCCTTTCTTTGCCAGGATATGTAGATAGCAAAGAAAAAAGGGTTAGATTATGATATTTCCACAGAAACATATTTTTCGGCCTGGAATTACATGGAAGCAAGCAAGCAAGATGCACGTAACCATATGCACATAAGAGGCCGAGATGGGTAGGTGGCAGGATGGCTTACAGAAAGTCACTGCTGGTTTCCATTCCTAGATATTTAATAGATCAAAGTCCAAGGAAAAAGTTGCAGAATTCAAAACCAGAAATCATAACTAGCATAAGATCCCAAGTGAATTTGTGACCTGCCAATCATTTTGTCTACATCTGTATACTTTTCTTTTGCTAGAATGAATTTGTTAACAGATTGAAAGAATATGCATGGTTGGTAGAAGTCATTTTATTTATGTTACATATCATATGTATTTGTCGGCACTGTTGCACATTACACCTCGATCCTTGGAGTTATATATTACTGGGAAGAAATGCAATCTATATCTCACCGAATATATTAATCTCCATAATTTGGTCAATCATTTAGTATTCATGAATTAAAATATACAAATAAAAGTACAAAGTTTTCTAAAAGTTAGTGCCACTGTAAACCATATAGTAAAGCTTCTCGCAATCGGCAAAAGGCTGGTTCGAACTCGTTCCTACAATGGATATGGCCACTCTACACAAAGATAGATAAGCATACTTTCAACAAAGTTTATTACTGAGAAATAAATTTAAGCATCAATTTAAACCAAAAGAAATAACCATTGTTATAGCAAAAACGAACCCAAGATTTTATGTATTCAGTTTTATTTGAGAATTCACATGATTTTCACTGAAAAGAGTAAATAGACCTTCTTATGCCAACTATTTCAGCTCTTGATTATTAATGCAAATTCATATAACTGTCAAACAATGAAGACACACTGTTTAGCCGTGCATCCCGAGTAAAAGATATAATATGATAAGTTGCAACTGAAGCTGGTTAGTACTCTGTGACTCAAGCAGTTTTAAAATTTTAAGATATTGGGATAATCACTTTAAGTAGTTTATAATAAAATGTGATGTGGATCATCATAATTTGTAGAGACTCTAAAGGTGTAAATTTTGACTGTATACCATTAACAGTGCGAACACATCTCCAGTCCTGTGATCCAACTGCATCACCCTCATCCATTTCTGAATGTCTGTTTATCATCATACCACCTCCTAGATCTAAAGTCTTTTGAAGAAGCATCTCCGGACCTGCAAAATACAGGATATCTTCAACTATTTATATGAAAACAGGATGAAGTTTGAAGAAAGTAACATCCATTTTGATATGAGTAATAAGAATGCGTTTGAAGAACCAACACGACCCTGGATCTTTCCAGCACCTAGGTATCTGTCAAGGTACTACTGGGCTTTGGGGGTTCAAATGTATCAGTGTATCAGTTTTGTACAATCAAATACTACATGCCTTTATACTGACGTTTTATTTTGCCCCTTTCTCAGGAACATAAATGTGTCATTGGGCCAAGAATGGTGATAATTAGGAGAAGAGTGAAAGAAGAAAAAAAAATAAAAGGGTGTATTTAGATTCTTGCAATATGTACTGACACTTCATACAATTTCAAGGGAAAATGTTTGCGGCAGAACCTTTCAGGAGAAACAGATAGGATGGATGCTTGCCGCAAAGAGGACAAACACGGGGCCCACTTCCTTAGCAGTTTAATTCTTCACAACTTGTTGTGTGATGGAAGAAATGTCAAGTAGTTTTCCTAGATATAATATGACTTATAAAAACAGAACCAAACTGTTGAACCCTTGATTGCTTCTGAAGCGAAAGTCATGAATTAGATTGTCATCTGAATACTAGGTTAGCCACCAATGGCTAAAGTATTTAACGAAAGGGAAAAAGTTCCCATGCGTACATGCTGGCTGGGTTTCAGATAGGGCATACATTGTTCTTAGAAGTGGCTTAAGACACTTTCCATGAGCAGACTGGCTGCACCATGGTCCATGACAGGGGTGAATATAGCTGCAATTTTGTACATGGACATATTGCACAGATGTGACAGAGAGCTTTACACCCATAAAGTGTTTTGTAATATTGGCATTTCATCTAAGAGAAAAAGTATACCCCAGCCATGCTGGAGACACCTAATGGAAGTGCAATCATACATGAAAGATAAACCGAACAAGAGATTTTATGGTTAGAAACTCTTAACTCAACGACATAGGAGGCATAAAACAATGCATGGCAAAAAGAAATTATAAACCCTAAGTTGGAATGCAGGAGTGCAACTAGCAGTATAAAATACCAAAAAGGGAAAGCTCTGAACATGCAACAAGAATGACAGAAGCAAATAAATAACATGTGCAAGGTTTTCAATATAACACACGTGGAGGGCTGGGTTCTCATGAAACCTCATCACATATCACAGTCTTCACGTTTTCCTACTATAAAAGGGCTGCAGAGAACCCCTCTAACCTAAGAAACTGCAGAAAGATTCACCATATTGATATTGCATAACAATTATCAACCAGGATGTGAGAGAGAATTAATAAATGAGAAAAGGAGAGGGGTAATCTTGGATTTTTGAGGGGACCACATAAGTATGTAGTAAATTATAGAATTTGGCTTTAAAGATAAATACACAAAGATGAATGGGTCTAAAATACTAATTAAAGGACTCGGATTCAAACATAAATTTGGGTAAACCTTTAGGTCTAAAGACAGAAACCCCTAAATTTTAACTACATGTCTTTATAATCAATAACTTTTAACTACAAGTCCTTACAATCACACACAATAATTTTAGGACATGCATTTCTTCAAGACATGCTGCGAACTAAGATTAAGTAAAAGGACTATGACATGATGAAGAGAGATTTGCTAATTCAATATTTTCCATACAAATTGATTTACCAAGAAGAGACATGAATAAGTTGGTTTTACCAATCACTAAATTTACTAATTTCCATTGACTTGCATGATATCAAAGCTGGTAGTCTAGCTTTACAATGTCACTGGCTACAGATCTTGACTTGCAACTCCATGTGAGACTTATATGTTGTAATAGTAGAATTCACCTTTTCCTATTTTTATAAGCCTTTTTAGATCATGAGCATATCGCCTCACTTTCCGTCTGTGTCCTTCAAGATTAAGCCTTTCATACAAAAACAGTTAAAACATAACAATAAATCATTTAAGATCAGCATTTGATAAACAAAACAGATTGGTAAATTAAGGATGCCTATATAATGTTGAAGTAAGTAGACATACTCTCCATCAATACTTAGGTTACGTCGGTGACTCACTGTAGGTATATCGTTCACAGCCTGTTCAAAATTTAACACACACTGGGTTGTCACAAAAATGCTAAGACCAGCATCAGTGGTAAAAAAAAAGAAATAAGTGAGTTCAGTTAATATAAAAATAGAATAGAACATAAATTGTGACTAAAAGAATCATTGAATATGATAATATGATGACACTAAGGTAAAATGTTAACAATACTGAACATGCATCAAATAAGTAGGGACCTCGTTACTTGATACTTAAATTGACTTACCATATAGGCAACATAAGCAAGTCAATCATACTGATTTTTTTTTCTTTTGAATGTTAGAATAATGATTTGATTGCTAGAATTTAATCAAGTACATAAATTATTCAAACTAAACCTAAAAGCTAAATTAGCTGATCGAAGGACTGGATAAGGGACAGAACATGGATTGAAGCAACAAGGAAATGGTTAGGTCATTAATTTAACAAGGAGATGTTTATAGTAGCTGACTGGAGAAAAGAGATCCACGTAGCAGAAAACTTTATTTCTTGCTTGAAGTTTCAACTGCAGAGAAGAAATCTCATCCAAACAGGAAGTATAAACAGAAGCGCATGTCTGAAAATCTTTGTTTCTAGGCTTCTAGCCATCTCTCCTCTCTTCAATATCTCTCTAACAACCATCAATAACCACTGTCTTTCATACAACACTGAACTACTCTTCTTTTCAAAAAAGAATACATTAAACAATAAAATATTATAGATCCTCATTCATATTTCAAAAGCTACAACTACTCCCCTTTATATAGGGATACAATAACAATAAATTTATTGTGTAGTCAATGTGCGACTAAACACCTAATCACAATTATTCTCTTAGTTACATTCCTAATATCTCTTAATCACCAAATCTCCAATTTGTACTCTTAAAATTTTAATCCTAATATAACTATAACATTATAGATCTCCATAATATATTCCTTAACAACTCTCTCTCAAGCTGGAGCATGTATATCATACATGTTCGGTTTGTTACCAACAAGATGTACTCACTCCAATTTATGACATGACTTAAAAGGCTAAAATGTTCAATGGGACCTTTCCATGGTTAGTTGTCTTCATCTTCTAGTCTTCTATTTGAATTTCTTCCACCACGAACAACCTCAAAGAAAATCACCAAATACGATACCTTGATTTTCTTCACAGATCGACCAGGAAATTACCAAACAAATGATTCTCATCACGGACCCACCAGGCAAACGATCCTCTCTAAGGATCCACCAAGCAGACGATCCTCTTCACGGATCAACCAAATAAACAATCCTCTTTATGGATTAACCAAACAAACGATCCTCTCTAGGGATCAACTAAACAAATGATAGTCTTCATTGATCAACCAAACAAATGATCCTCTCTAGGGATTAACTAAACAAATGATAGTCTTCACGGATGAACCAAACAAACGATCCTCTCCACGGATCAACCAAACAAACAATCCTCTTCGGGATCTAACAAACAAATGATCTTTCTTTAGGGATCTATCAAACAAATCATTCTTTCAAGGATCTAACAAACAAATAACTTCTCTCGTGGATCCACCAAACAAATGAAGCCAAAAAAATAACATTCATCGAACCAAACTCCAAACAATATCATGATTCAATCAGAATCTTTTTTCGTAGCTAATGGTGGTCAAGGTTTCTAGAATACAAGCGATCGTGGTGGTGTTGTCGACAAGTTGAGTAGGCGGTGAACAAAGGGAAATCGAGGTGACACAGACGGTGATGAGAACATATATATCGAGGATGACTACTACTACCAATAATAACGATCATGATCATCAACAAAGGCCGTCAAAAGCAGGACGGACAAGAATCCGCGGAACTATTCACAAACAGTCCCTATGGCATTGTTCACGGTGAGCAGTTACAACGATATTGCTCAAGATGAATAGTCATCGCGCCTTGTTCATGGTGACGAGTCACAGGAAAGAAGGGAGATAAGACAGAGTGATGAGTTTGATGGTGAGGAATTGGGGGGCTAGGGTTTGCGAGGATCTAGGGTTTTGTGGAGGCTAGGATTTGCAGGGCTCTGATACCATGTTAAACAATAAGATATTGCAGATTCTCATTCCGTAACGCCCTTGTTTTCACACTTGACTACAGTCCAAGGTGAACCCAGAGATGTCAAATCTGTCATGCACCTCTACTGTGTAATAACATGTTTCACCAATCATAGTAATATCCTCTAGTGGAAACAAATATAAGTGAATGTACAAAACAGGCAAATAAGGAAAATAGATACTATAGACATGATGCGGAATGATATATCTCGTAAATAAAATCATGTCTCAACTAGAATAAACTGAAATACATCTGATGTACATTTGGAGTCTGAAATAACATGATATGTCTGAAATAACATGAATCAACTAGAAGTCATACTAAGGCAAACTGCCTTAACAATACGCGACGGCGACTATGCAAGAATCCCGTCAACCTGTGACTCTCCGGTGCTCTGAACCACCTATAAGATAAAAAAAATAAAAGGAGAAAAAGAACAACAACAAGAGCGTCAGAGCGCTAGCAAGATTACCTCCATCCGCCCCGAGGAAGGCTACTAGATGAAGTGGAGGCTCTATCTATTAAGCATAGTCTACCTAGATCATTTTCCACGTATCTGATGGTAATAATAATTAGAAATCTATAACACGAGACGTAGTACGTTGAGCGAAATAATCCAAACAAGGAAACCCTCATGTATATATCATATGTCTCAAATTGTAAATCGCTAATCATTGATCCCAACAAAGAAGTAAAGAAAATAGTACATGAAAATAAAGACATCAATATATCGTATTTATAATATCTTCCACTATCACTGGGAAGATAAAATAATTATCAGCATATAATCTAGTGTACTTTCACGAGCAAGACACATCGGTCATATATCTTAACGATGAGGTATATACATAACTGGCATCCGCCAAAGATTCTGGCTATCAACAATCGTCACAATGCAAATCCTTGCAAGTTACTGATTCTTCGCATTTTCACTTGGAACAGACTACCAGGTCGGTATCCTAAACAATATACACGGCTCATTAGTCTCATCGCATCTCTGTACGGAACATGAGTGCGGGACGGACTACCAAATAGGTATCCTTGAGATACGGCTCACAAGCCTCATCGCACCCTAATGCGGGACGGACTGCTAGATTAAGCATCCTAACATCCGACTCAATGGCCTGTACAAATGGAATATCGACGCACTATCCCATGTAGCACTGAGCGCTGCCCATTAACGATATTCATCTCGTGTGTAAACTAACTTACTAACTCATCATAATAGACATATTAACCTATTCGCATAACCATGTGGGAACCAAGGGTAATACCCCAAATGAAATAAATGATCATTATTCAAAAATAATCCAAAAAAAAAAAAATTTCGGCTGCACCAATCTGGCTGCCTACGTACCCTCTCTCTCAAGGGATCAAGCCATTCGTAGTTCATCAACGATACCCATACAAATATATGCAACTTAAATTTACCGTCTATCACAACAAAACTAACTCAAATGTCAATAGACCAAAACACGTCATAATCCCCTTGGGAACACATGCGTATTACAACATACTCATGACTATAAGTGTAACATCGAGCGGCTCAAACTCCGCGAATGCATATCAAAATAGCGCAAACCAACCCAACAACAAAATGGGAAAAACAGTCTGCACTACTGTTAGTAAATCGAACATATCCCTTTCTAGGAAAACTATTTTTAAGAATAGTTTTCTATTTTAGAAACTAGATTTCACACATCTTTCAAATGACACTAGTTTGGTTCAGTTTGGAATTCATTTGTTACCACAAATAATTAGATAAACATTATATATATACAGCAGATTTTCTGCAGGACATGTTGTTAATAAAATGAGCATATCTTTCTCTGTATAAACTCTTTTTAAGAATGGCTTCTGTTTTATAAACTAGATTCACATATATTTCTAATGAAACTAGTTTGGTTCAATTTGGAGTTAAATTACTATCTCAAACATCCAGTTAAACATGACACACATGCAGCAGATTTTCTGCTGTTATGCTAAATACATATGTGTTTATATATATATGTACTCATATCTATACTTAGTGATTTTGATCTTAAATCACATGCTAACACATTCAATCATCAAACTTGATAATTATACAACAGATATCACAAATTGATAAATATATAATAGCATATGTATATATATATATATATTTCCACTTCAAATAATAAATACACTCTTAGGATTAATTTGAATTGACTATCATAATTAATCCTTTTCCTTGAATTACACGTAACTATCAAATTGATTCATTTCACATGGCAAGATTTATCCAAATCATAGAGATATTATCTCATATAAACAAACTTACATTTCTTAGGAAAAGAAATACAGAATCTAGGATATTAATAATCATGAATAATTCAATTAATCATTTCTTCTAAGAATTTAACACGAATCTAGGATATTAATAATCATGAATAATTCAATTAATCATTTCTTCTAAGAATTTAACACGAACTAAACATGATTAATGAATTAATCATGAATAATTCAATTAATCATTTCTTCTAAGAATTTAACACGAACTAAACATGATTAATGAATTATCGCCAAAAATAATTTTTTACCAGATTAATCATGATCATGAAACAGTTTTCAACAGTAAATAATACTTTCAGTTCTAGTATTTGCTAAAAAATTTATCATCAACAATCTAATTTATTTTTAACATAACAGTTCAAACTCATGCATAAGAAATATCAAATTTCAACCTTCTTAAATCTTGAACTAATTTATAGGGAAGGTTTGGGTGAAGATAATCTTGCCTTAGTTTTGCTGAAAATCCCCAAGCAACCGTTCTTGCGAGAATTTCCTTTGCTCAAGTGTTATCCACTGCTTTTTCTTCACAAATGATCAAACTCCCCTCACTCTTTTCTTTTCTTTTCTTTCTCTCTGTCTCTCTCTTTCTCCCTCTTCTCGTGAGCATCTCTCTCCTGTTCTCTCTTTCTCACACTCTCTGTTTCTTTTTCTTTCTCTGTCTTGTTCCCGCAAGGATGTGAAAGAGAGTAGCTTATACAGAGATTCGTGGAGAGGGTTAGGATTCGTCGATGAGTTAGGGGCTAAAGGGGATTAGTTAAAGAGGGATGTCGACACCCAGCACCGCCGCTCAACGCTAAGTGCGTCCAGAAAACACGGAGGAAATCCCGCACCGCCGTTTACCCAGAAAACAGGGAGGAAAACGCGGAGAAACAAATAATTCGGCTACAGTAAAATTTTACATTTTCTAACTAATTTCTCAGCATGTTTACTATTTGCTACAGTTTCAATCATCAACAGTAACGCTACAGTATCAGAGGATTTTGCTACAGTGAATCACCTTCTTTTGTTTTAGCTTCGGTAGCTGATACAGTGCTATACGTATAAAAATACGCTGCATAATACTATATACATGTGTTCTGTATTTTGGATATAACTTCTTCATACGACCTCGGAATGAGGTGATTAAAGATTTGTTGGAAAGCTGTCGAAGAGACCTACAACTTTGGTCTTTTGAGTTTTCCCAGATTCATTTTACATCAGTGTGTAAAATACATAAACTCTTAACTGGTCATTTCACCAGGTATGTATTTGCACTCGTATATTCACATATATATATACGTTGAATTGATCTCAAATCAATTCCCAACATACTCAAATATCAAAACATGATATTTATCATCATAAAATATTTTTATTACTATTTATCACAACAAATTTAAATTTTCGGGGTTTTACACATTCAATTTCAAAAGCTACAACTACTCCCCTTTATATAGGGATACAATAACAATAAGTTTATTGTATAGTCAATATGGGACTAAACATAATTACATAATCATAATTATTCTCTTAGCTACATTCCTAATATCTCTCAATCACCAAATCTCTAATTTATACTTATAATATATATTCCTAGTATAACTATAACATTATAGATCTTCATAATATATTCCTTAACAGAAGAAAAGCAAATATCTTGTTTCTTTTTCCTCTAGACTGAATCTCCTATGAACACTTGTCCATTACCACTGATAAGAGGTGTCTGCCAGATTCATCATTTTCCTTGAACTAATCACAAATAGCATGAAATCCGCCCCACTCCCCCCCCCCCCAAAAAAAAAAAAAAAAGTTACTACAATCTAATTAAATCCCCTTCAAACCGATCTTCTACACGTGCACAAAAAGGACAAATTAGGAGGTAAAGGGAACTTATGGAATGGAACTAATGGCTTACACGACACTTGCTGAATTACAATTTTTATCCTGGTACTCTTTGATCCATACCAAGTTACCAACCATGGGATGTGCCAGTGCTACACAATCACCCAAGAAAACATCATTTTGTGATGGTCTTAACCAAATATTTGTCATCCCAGAGTCCCCATCACTGAGCCAAATTGAAATTGAATTAAAGCCCGCAAACAGCATCTTAACAGTGATATCAAAGAAGGGGAGGTGAGAACATGGAAATGCACAAGGCCGGGTTTCGTTTCTAACCGTGCTCTTCCAGTGGAAACTTCTCCCCAAATCCGTTGTAGGTTGATAGCGAAATTTATAAATCCTACTTATATTCTCCACACAAAATCCTCCCTCTCTCCCTCCCTCATGTCAGAGTAAAGTATCGTCAACAACGGCTTTCTAGCATGTTATAGATTCTTATCCAGGACCAATAATGTTTGACAATACCATGTGAATCACAGGAATCATGTGAAGCTTATGGCTAAACAAATAATGAATATTTCATGAGGACTCGAGCAGGCTATCATTAGACAAAAGACCTTTCAAAAAGAGATCCAAATTCAGGACTATTATATGTCCAAGGTCCAAGACTGAAATCATTTCAGAGGTTTCCCCTTACTTTTATGTGTAAACATAAAATTCCCTCCCCTTCCTCCATCTTCTTTTTGAACGAAGGCTGCAGCTGAACTTAAACTAGGACTTTAAAAATCCAACGAAGGCTGCAGCTGAACTTTAAACATTTGTTATTACTATCTTTTTTAAACAAAGAGTTAGCTACCTGTTGTTTGGCCTGGTCAAATGCTTCCTTCCAGTTTCGTGCTTCTCCAGCAGTAGCGCAAGCAATCTATGAAAAGCCAGTTACAGGATTAATTATCGATTGATAAAGGATCAGCATGAGCAAATGATAAGGAAAGAGAAACTGACGAGAAAAAGAAATGGAGATAATGAGTGAAAATGCTGGATATAACTTATTAAAGAAATATTTTCTAAATAAAAGATGATAACACATAAATCTTTACTTTTGAAATTTTGAACCTCATCACTGATTTCTCATTTACATAGCAAGTAACTTAATAGACAAAAATTCTTTCGGATGGAAGTATGCCATAATCGCCTTCATCAGCGAAGTGCAATACTATACTTAAGTGCAAATGTAAGAGCAAACTTGTTGGGTTTAAATATTTGTTCTAGTTTATAAAAAAGTTTGTAACTAGCAGAATAAATGCCGATTTGGTCCAGCTAGAATTTCATCCAGTTTCTTACAGCTTTCTGAACCAGTTTCTTGCTGAGTGTGGATCAATAAACTTTACCATTTGTTAATCATGATCAACACATGATATAGTGATGTCTGAACCTTCTTACATACTGTCAGGCAAATAAAATGTAAAAACTTGACACTGCCCTGTTTAGGTTATTACTGCAAAAGTACAAGTAGATTTAAAGATTATCGGTGGAGAAGTAGAACTCTTGTTAAGTACACTGCAATTGGATATAAGCATGAAGGTCACCAAATTAGGCCTTTATTTGATTAGAGTAGGGGTCGCGAGAGAGCAGGGCGGTGACTAGGCCTTTATTTGATTAGAGTAGGAGTCGCGAGAGAGCAGAGCGTACCGCCCTGCCATAGTCGCGAGGATCTTTATAGTCGGTCACGACTGTTGTCATAGTCAACGACGGTTGAAACTTCCAGGAAAAAACTTCGAATTGGGAGGGCGATCCTCCCAGTGAACTGATCGTACCCCAAACCGACACAGGTGAACAAGTAGAGTATACTAGGGCGCGTCGAGAGAACCATGTCGAAGGAACTTAGCAAAATGACCCCGTAACTTCGGAGAACGGGTGCTCTCCTATCTTTTGATTAGGAAAGCGGCACATACCAGGGGGTAGCGACTGTTTATTCACGGAATAGTTGCATGCTTAATGCCTATTTTAGAAAGTGTCTCAAATGGTAAGAGAGTTACAATCTGCTCTTGACTTTTTAATATCTCTTCAACACTGCTAAATCTTCTTTGTTTCAATGTCATTTCAACTTTGACTTTTGTGACTTTGAGATTTAAATAGTTTCCCATTTTTGTCAACAAAATGCCAGCATTGTGTATGGGCTGCGTGCTGCATGACAAATCCACATCTAAATCCAGTAGAAGATTTTATCAGGATTTTGTTAGGATATTAGCTTTTTTTGGTAGGATTTAATTTTATTATACATAATCTTCTATTTTAGTTAGGATTTTTTAATAATTCGATTTTGGTACCTCCAAGTTTATTTAGGATGCTATTTGATTGCATATTTTATTTATTTTAGGTTATGATTTGGCTAGGATATTGATTTGTTTCCTTCAGTGATTAGATGTTTTTCTCTTCTGTAAATCAAATGTGAACCATGAGGAATAGACATTATGAATAAAAAATCCTTGGCATGTGAATTGCTCGTTATTTGGCATGTGGTTTGCCTCCTCAAGTGTGAAGCCCTTAGGTGTGAAGCCTTTTCCTTTAGTGGGGTGTGAAGCCTATTCTTTAGCGGGGTGTGAATCTCTTAGGTGTTAGCATATTTATCCAAATCCTCTCTTTTTTAGTTCTCCAACTTTCAGATCGAAGCTCTCACCCTGTTTCCCATTACTGAGTAAGTTCATGTTTCACATATGTAAGAGTTGGAATCTGAAGTCATTGGAATAAATATGCACTACGTATCAATTAATTTTCTGATGCAAAGCTGGAAAATTACAGACATAAAATTAATTCATTTCAGGTTCAACCGTTCAATGAGACATCTAGTCAAATAAACTTTAGTCTTCAAACACAAACTCCAAGGCACTATATGTAAGCAAATGCAACAAAAAAGAATTAGGCAAAAATAGTTAATTAGCATAGATTACTGCAGTACATCTGTTTGAAATAGCAGAAAACTCTCTATTATTGATAATTCATTGATATATATTACAAGAAATGAATACATATATTTATTATGTGATAGCAGACTTAATATAGAAAATCTTAATAATATATAGGAAACAAGGAGATACATGCACTACAAAATATAGATAGATGCACTATGAATTACAAAAGAAATGAAATTGTAAGATTATACTCTACTGTATTTAATATAATATTCTTATATTTAATATAATATTCTATATATTTACAGTGGGACAAAAACTGTGAGTGTGCATAAGAAGAGCCAAAATTGCTAATGTGTCTAAACCTTGATGAAAAATTGGAACATATAGTAGGACATAAATCCAGTAGTATTGATGAAGAAAAAACCCAACACCTGTGAGATTGATAGCGAAGGATAGGAATCCAAAGGCATTAATGTAGGAGAACTCAAGGTCAACGAGATTGACAACGAGGGATAGGAATCCTTGAACATCAAGGGAGAAACTCTTAGCGCTGGCGAGATTGAATGACGATGATAGGAATCCGTGTACGTCAACGGAGAACTATCAACGGTCAATGTAGATGAAGTGAAGAGGAGGAGCTCGTCACAAAGAAAATCTCAATGGTTAATCTTGATGCCATGGAGAAGAAAATTTCATATTAAGAAAGGCATGAGTCAAACCCAACGTAAAAGGAGAAGGTTGACGAAAGAGATTGAAGATCCTCATAGATTGTACTAGACAAGAGATGAATACATTATTTATAATTCTATAGCAGACTTAAATATAGAAAGTCTTAGTAGTAGCCTAATAGGAACGGAAGGAGATATATTTACACTAGCAAGTAATACGTAGGAAAGGAGATATATGCATTACCAAATATACATAGAATGCATAACCAACCACAGAAGAAATGGAATAATAAGATTTATCATATTATACTTACTATAATATTTTATATATTTAATAAAACAGAACATTTATAGGACAGTCAAAAAAATTCTTAATTCACCAGAAAATGTGATGATTGATTAACTTATTCTCTTTCAGTGCAGAAGTACATACAACATAAATCAGGTCCACAGTCAGCTGTCTAGCGATGAGTGGTGATCAGAACAGGAGCAATTCAATAAGTAGAGTCGAACTCACGTAACTTGTCAAGAGGGGAAAAAGTCAAATATATGATATTTTTGAGTTTATATCGACATGATATTGCAAGTTCATAATACCTCCTACTTTTATTGTACATGAGTTATAGCGTTAAAACATGCTTTAGTAATGATCTATATTGATCACAACTTAATCATTTTGATCCATCAAAAGTAATGACATATTAACACTGAAATATTTACGTAGTATAAACCTATAACTGTCATAACAGAAAAAGCAAAAGGAAAGAAATTATCTTGAATAGAAAGTTTAGCACCCAATGATTGTTTATTACAGAATTACGTTGTCACTGAAATACAGGGTCAAAGAATAACTACTGTAAAAGAATTATTACTTACTTCACCTTTCTTTGTCTCATCCAACCGGTTGTAGAACCTTACAACATAAAGTTCCTAGATAAGACATTGGTTAGTCATCCAGATTAAATAGACATTTCGGAATATCAAGAGAGAGAAAAATCACTTTAAGAAGCTTACAGTATTCACTAGTGCGTATGATAAGTATAATTTTTGGCTCTTACCCCAGAGTTGACCTTCTTACGTCCTAGCTCCTTCACCATAAGTGTATGACTAATAACACCTTTCCTGATAGGTTTCTGAGATATAAAAAATATTAGAGAAAGTATCACAGCACCATGCAATTAGATTCTTCCCATGAGGGTCCAAAACTATGAATCTGTAGTTCTGATAACAGTAGATAGATATAAAAAAATCAATAAGATGCACTTTAAAAGCTTTATTGATCAAAAGGTGTAACAAAAAATTTTAATAATTCAAACACTGAAAAGAAACGAATAAGTGTAGAAAATAATCTTGAGAAACAAACATCGTATGTTAAATTGTTACAGAAAAGACACAATATATTTGTAATATAAAGACATTTGCTACCCGACGTCTTAATATCTGACATAGTACAACAATCAACGGTTGTCTCAGAGAAAGAGGAAGGGAAGAAAGTAAAATTCACATGAAGATGTAATACATGACCATATTTCTGTTCAGTATACATTTAAAAAGCATAAATGCTTGTTCCTGCTCAGACTTTGCCTGCTATAATACGTTCATAATCTAGCATCTACAACAGAAATGAAAATGCATCTCTTAAACAAAGTCTATTCTACTGCAATAACTTCTCTGCTGCTGGAACTTGTCAGCTGAAAACTAATAATTCTTGAGATTTCTTTAAAAAAAGCCTGGTTGGATATTGAGCACTTACCTGTAAGAACTAAATTCTTTGCAATGAATAGTTGCAACTACGGAAATGGAATCTTTTCTTACATAGAGTCATTATATATGTTATGTGTGGATGTGTATGAAATACAGATTTTCTATTGATTTATTTCTGTCATTCCTTTTATTTTTGCTCGAGCTGGATGATGAAAAATTATCATGTCTGGTTCCTTCAGGGGATGGATCGATAAGAATTCGCCTATCCCAATAATAAAAAACATGATTTGAATGATCTTGTATTAAGAGATAAATTGGCTAAAGGGATGGAGCATAATTATTATGAAGAACCCGCATGGCCAAATGATTTTTTATATATTTTTCCAAAAGTAATTTTAGGTACTATTGCATGTAATGTAGGCTTAGCAGTCCTAGAACCATCCATGATTGGTGAACCAGCAGATCCATTTGCATATTTTCCGAATGGTACTCCTATCCCGTATTTCAAATACTACACACAGTACCCAATAAGCTACCGGGTGTTCTTTTAATGGTTTCAACACCAATAGAATTATTAACAGTACCCTTTTTGGAGAATGTTTATAAATTCCAAAATCCATTTCGTCGTCCGGCAGCTAGAACAGTCATTTTAATCGCAGTAGCTCTTTGGTTAAGTATTGGGGCAACATTACCTATTGATAAATCACTAACTTTGGGTCTTTTTTAAATGGATTCAATCGTGAGATGCCACGATGTAGGTATCTACAGGATAGTCGCTTCTAAAGTGAATCCTCCCTAGATACATGAATTTTATTATGATCTATTCCGCGAAAATACGGATGGCATCCCGAAGATAAAAATTAAAGTTTTTTCTTTAGAACTTCAATTATTTTGACCAACAATTGGAAGATTAAGCTAGTTTGAACAGAGTCCTCTCAAGTTAACAGGTTAAATTTGAAATGCCTTACAAAGGTTCAAAAAGTTCTTAACAGGCTGTCTTCTTCTAATATGCAGAAGCATAGAGATGCAGTTAGATAAAAATTAGAATTATAGATCTAAACGTATAGCAAAACCCATAAGATTTCGCTTGTTTGAAAAGACTCAACAGAGCCCTATTAAGTTAAAAGGTTAAATTTGACAAGCATTGAGAGCATAGAAATGTGGTTAGATAAAATTTAAACTTATGGATCTCAAGGTACAAAAAGACCAGCAGGGTGATTATATGGTACAGACTAAAGATCAAGAAATATCTCAGAATGATCATTTCCATTACTTGAATCAATTATTCATCAAGATGGTAAAATTGTAGAAAATATGGTTCATCAAATCAAAATGTGATGGTAAAATGGAGAAGTACTTCCAGAGTCTTGTGTGATCAAGGGATACATGTGAAATTGAAGAAAAAAAATTCTACCAAATAATTAAAGATTTAAGCTTTTTATGGATGAGAATGTAGGGCAGTTATAAGCTAGTCCAGTCAAGGTTGTATAGAAGAGAGTGAAAAATACTAGGGTGGATGAGTGAAATACAATGGGATAGTCTGATAGATTAAGTTCGTGATTTTTGCACCATCTGAGTGTGTTCAATCTCCTGTAATGAACTTAAAATACTTTTCCCTGTGTTGTAATTGGGAAAAACAGATTCATTTTCTTGAATACCCTTTCTTCTATCAGTTGCCTGATTGTTGCAAGCATCACTCTGCCTACCAGAATCCAAATAAATGTTGTGCATTTGTCATCCTACACCCGAGTTAGGTTGCAACTCTTATAAGGTCAACATTGTTTTCATTGACAATATATAACTGGAATTGCTGCACATGCAAGAGAATTCGAATTTTATTTTTCATAAAATTTATGGAAAGATGGGTACATCTTAGAAGCTGAAGAAATCATTGTTTCTCCTATATTTCAATTTTAAAGTGGTGAAAGAATCCACATTCCACATTAACCCTAAATCCAATATTTGTACCTATTCTTCAGACTCTCCTATACACAATACCAATAAAACTCAAGATTCGAACAATTCCAGCAACTAACTCTTTGAATCTCATTGTTCACCTCAATCAAGCTATAACATGGAGTCATCTCAACCCCCCTCCGTCCAACACGCCCCCCCCCGCCACCGCCCAATATTAGCCTCACTTTTTCCACCATCCCATCCCACTTCACCCACATAAGCATCCGGAAGCAACACATAGTTCCTCAAAAGGGCACATGCACCCATCACACACAATTTGCAGAAAAGGCCATAGAAATAGTTTTGGTAAATTATGAAAACACCCTTAGTTTTATGTTAAGTTTGTCTCTACTCCAGAAATAATTCCATTAATCCATAATATTCCTCAAGTAATTAGAAGAAATTTCTAAATTAATAGATCACCTTGAGGGTGGAAATGGTTCGGATATGGCTCACATATGATACCATATTCATATAGGCCTGTCATTCACGGATATGGATACGAATACGGATATGCCGTGGTAAGGAAAACTCATATCCATATTCGCTAAAATCGGATACATATATGGACATACATGTGGGTGTATATGTAGATACAAAATGGATGTGAGAAAAAAATATATTGAAAAAACTATAATCCATATGGTACAAGAGAGTTCGTTAATATGTTTGTTATCTGAAAAGCTAGGATTGGAACTCTAGTTCGTCAGAATTAGTCCCAAATTCATTAATCTAAAGTTTGGAACAATTGCAGTTCTATGATCAACATATATTCAGATATTTCGGATATGAATCCGCATATTTTACTACAAAACCACATCTGTAACCGTATCCTATCCGTTATAGATTTGTGTATCCATATCCTTATCCTAACAAATATAGTTAGGGGTATTTTCCTCGAATACGGATACAGTTTACCACCCCTTGTCATCATGCGTCATGCAATTCAATTCCAAAACAAACAAATCCCTAAAAAAATCATCATAATCGGAGAAAGGGGGTCGAGATTACTGACAATGCCAGGGTTCTCGTTGGGATCTCTCTTGTACATTGCGACGTATATTCCCCTGAGAACGAGGAATCGAAGGTGGCAGTACTCATGGCCAATGGAGTTGACACCGAGATGATAGACCCAGCCAAAGAACTCCGATTGCCTCTCGCTAGGGATCGCATCCGGCGCGTCCTCGAATGAATCTTCCTCCATCTCCATTGACGTTGATGGTGACGTCGACGACGACGGAGACGCCATTGGAGAAACGATCGGGGGTATGTTGAGAGATCAGAGGAGAGAGAGAAGGGATTGGGCTCTCGCTCTCGCTCTCTCTATCTCTATCTCTCCCCTCTTTCTCTCTCGAGGCTGGTTGGTTTGTGAGAACAAGAGGAGAGTGAGTTTGTTTTTGGGTAGTCTGATTTTTATTTTGACACCTAGGCATCATTGCATCTGTCGGTGGAATTTTCTTTTTCTCGCTTTTAGTGCCTGATTTTTGGTTTTGTTGTACGAGGCCAGGCCGGGTTTGGTTAGGCCGTTAGGGGTAGTTGGTGTTAGAATATAAAAATATACAAAATTATACTCCCTTTTAAAGAAAGATTTTGGTAAAAATTTTCTATGGATTATATTACCTTTATTTTTATTTTTATTTTGATATTATATTCTAATCTTAGCTAAACTAAATTAATTATTATTGTTAATTAATTATATTGTATGCCACTTCAAGTTTGTTTAACTTGGTCCCTAAAACTTCCAATGTTATTGTAAAACTCTACTCCATATTAATTATTACTAATATATAATAATATATTAATAGGCAATTACATGTTAATAAATTATTTAAAGAGTAGAAAACATAGAATTATTCTAAATTTGTACCATGACACTCATATAGGAAAATTACAAAGTATATTCTTGCGATTAGGTAACAGTACAGAAGGTACAAACATGCAATTTTAGAAAGCATTAGGAGATTTAAGTGCAGCAAGATACAAGTGGAGGTGTATAACTTTCATAAACTATAAGGTATTTAAGTTCAATTTGTTGAAGTTAATCATAATAATTCTAAAAGGATTTGAGTTAGTTATCTCTAGGAATTATAGTCATACTAGAATTCTATTATGAAACATTTTGTAAAGCCTTTAAACAGGCATTCATGCATCCTTGTACCTAAGAGAAAAAAAGAAGAAAAAAAGAAAGGGGTCAAGTACTGTAGATACAATAATCGAGAGTTTAAAAGAGATTTTTTTTTATTTGCTTCTCCTAGTAAATCTCTCCTCATATATATTATATTTATATTTGCTTTGTCGTTGATTGCTCCAACAGTGGCATCAAAGCCATAAACAATCTAAACGGGACGACGTCAACTTCTATTCCTATATTAGATGGGAAAAAATATCACTGTTAGAGAATGCAGATGAAGGTATTGTTTGAATATCAAGATATATTGGGTATCGTAGAGAACGAAGTTGCCGATCTCACAGATAGCGCAAGTAAAGCCGAGAAGAAAGCCCACGGTGAGATCAAGAAGAAGGATCAAAAGGTGTTATTCTACATCCATCAAGGAGTGAAAGTAAGCATGGGATACTTTGGAGACATTGTACCATGGAGTTGAGAATGTGAAAAAAGTTAGGCTTCAAACATTAAGGCGTCAATTTGAAATTTTACAGATGGAACCTGCTGAAAGTGCTGCAGATTACATCACTCGAGTACTTATTTTGACAAATCAAATAAAAGTAAACGGAGAGAAGGTTACAGATTTAGCAATTGTGGAGAAGATATTATGACCTCTTACAGCAAAATTTGATCATATCGTGGTGGCAATCGAAGAATCGAAGGATTTGTCCAAGATGATTGTTGATGAGTTGATAGGTACCTTACAAGTTCACGAGCAATGTATGGGCGAAAGATCAACCGAGAAGCCCCTTGAGAAAGCTTTTTAAAGTCAAGCTTTTATAAAAAATAACAACAAATGAGCGCAGTACGAAAGAGACCAACAAGGAGGAAATTCCTATGGCAAAGGACGAGGATATGTGAACTACAATAACCGATGATGCGGATACTACAATAGTCAAGGATGTGGTAGTTATAACAACAATAAAAGAGATGACGACAATCAGAGAAGCAATTATCAATCAAATTCAAATTATCGAGGTCGAGGTCGAGGCTTTGGATGTGATAGAGGAAATTTTAATAAATCAAACAGTAAATGTTACACATGTCATAGATATGGTTAACGAGGTTCGGCAAACGTGCTTACATCCTCGGGAGCCACACCATAATTTCTCTGATTATTGAAGAAGATTACAATGCTTGCAATAGGCTTCTCTATCTTTCTCTCTCTCTCTAAGATCTCTCAGAAAAAATACTCTCCTTTTCGTGTACTAACTCTCAAAAGAACGTTCAAGAATATATATAAAACCCTAACTCGAAACAGAATCTCAAACGGGCCAGGAAACTGCTTGACCCGATATCGGTCAACTGATGCACTTGCATCGGTCGACTGATAAGGGCTTCTCAGCTGCTTCGTGCATATTGTTGGTCAGTTGATGGCACCCCATCAGTGGACTTACCAGAGGAGTGTTTAGGTTGTTTTTTTACAGTGTCATCAATCGACTAATCCTCTTCTTTGATCAACTGATGACTTCTTGTGTGCATGTTTGTTTCCAGGTTTCGGTCTATGCACCCAAAACCAACACATCTAACTAACTTTAAGTTGCAATGGAATGACTGACCCCACTATGTTTAGTGCTACTGACATGTATGAATATCATTACGAAAAAAGTTAGGAGAGTGTCTAGTCTTTCAATTGAAAACAGAAATAATTAAAGCAATTAAATAAGTGCATTGACACCTGCGAACAAATTAGGCAGATATGACACCACATAAAAGTTCAAGGCAATACCAACACATAGATGGCTTGCCAACATCTCCATCTTACATGTTCATGTTGGGAATTTACGCCAAAACCCCTAAGACAGCGGAAACGCAGTATAGAGAAAATACATCAAGATTTAACGAGGTTCGGCAACTGCCTACGTCATCGGAAGCCGCACAATAAATTTCTTATTAATCTAATATGAAATTACAATTCAAGAGCGAATCTCAAACTTGAGATTCCTCAATAAATACAATCGTTACTGTAGCTACAGTAAGATTCCCCCACTTCTTAAATACCCCTCTTTATTCTCTCTACAATAAAATTTCTGGACAAATTTTCAAAACCAACCCTTTTAGCATTTTATTTGCAAAAAACGATCCCTTTTAAAAATAATTACAAAAACCGACCTGTTTTCAGCCCAGCGCTGAAAACAGGTCGGTTTTTGTAAAAAATTCTCCGAAACATCACGGGAGTTCAACTCCCGTGAAGAAAACGACCTATTTTGAAAATAATTACAAAAACCGACCTGTTTTCAGCCCAGCGCTGAAAACAGGTCGGTTTTTGTAAAAAATTCTCCGAAACATCACGGGAGTTCAACTCCCGTGAAGTTTATGGAGAAATTAAACTTCACGGGAGTTGAACTCCCGTGAAGCTTAATTTCTGCTTAAATCTTCACGGGAGTTCAACTCCCGTGAAGATTTGGCCAAGATGCAGCGCCAGAGCTGCTCTTCTGATGATTGAAGGTTTTGTTCAAGAAACAACCTAATCAGGTCACCTTGATCAAGCTATGCGCTCCGACCCCGTCGATCTCGTACTCATAGTACACATGCCCGTTCCCATCTTTGGCCTCCTTGGACTTCACCCCTTCCTCCGCGCCCGTGATCAGATCCTGCAGCTCAACGTCGGACAGCGCCAGGTTGCTTAGCACGGCGTCCATGGGCGCCAGCGCTCGGAAGCCGGAGAGGAAAGTGAGGTACTCCTTCTCGGACTTCTTCCTGGGGTTGTAGAACTCGCTGTCGGTGCCGTTGGTGCCTTTCTCCACCTTGGAGACCAGGCGCTCCTTCCAGGAGTCGGGGACGGATGGGGGCAGGAGAGTGGCCATGGGATTGTCGGGGGGAGGTGGAAGGATTGCTGATGGGGAGAGTGGCCATGGGTTTGAGTTGGGGTTTCGGATGGGGGCAGGAGGGGGAGGGGAGGGGAGGATGGCTGATGGGGAGAGGAGAGTGGCCATGGGATTGTCGGGGGGAGGTGGAAGGATTGGGACCTGCTATCGGACTATGATGCGTTGTTTTGTTGACTGTAACTCCACGGGGGTTCAACTCCCGTGAAGTTTATGGAGAAATTAAACTTCACGGGAGTTCAACTCCCGTGAAGTTTAATTTCTCCATAAAACTCCACGGGAGTTGAACTCTCGTGATGTTTCGGATAATTTTTTACAAAAACCGACATGTTTTCAGCGCTGGGCTGAAAACAGGTCGGTTTTTGTAATTATTTTCAAAAAGGGTCGGTTTTTGCAAATAAAATGCTAAAAGGGTTGGTTTTGAAAATTTGTCCTAAAATTTCTCTTTAAAATCCCTTCCCAATCACGTGAGAACAAGAGATCAGAAAGAGAGAGAGAGAGAGAGAGAGAGAGAGAGAGAGAGAGAGAGAGAGATCGCANAGGGTGAGTCGCCGCCATTGGAAGAAAACGAGATTGCAAGAGAGGTGGAGTGACTGCCTTCGGCCCTGGGGTTTCCCTTTTATAGGGAAACCCTAGCTGAGCTGTCGACAAGCTGTCGACAGCCTGGGAAACTCGCCATCAGTGCTCGAGCTCGCCCTAAGCTCGCCTGCGAACCCCCAAATCTCGCATGCGCCTTACTTGCTCGCTCTCGCCTGCAGAAGTCTCAAACTCGCCTGTGTGAGACTCTTGAGCTCGCCAAAGCTTCGACCTCGCCTGCAAGATGCATCCGCCCCCAAACTCGCCCTCGTCGACCTCGCCTGAGTCGATCTTGAGTTCACCTGCACTTGCGAAGATCTCGAGCTTGCCAACTGGAGCTCGCCTCGCCTGAGGGGGTGCCGTCGACCTCGCCTGAGTCGACGCCCACGCTCGCCGGAGCTTCTGTCTTGAATCGAGGTTTGATCTACACCTCAATTCTAACTGTTCAAGCATTGATACACTGTTTAAGTTGTAAACACAACATGTGCTACCTTTGACAAACATAATATAATGTTGTATAAATAGGAAATGGGTCCAAATGGTAGAGTGACAAAGCACATCAAAGACACAAGAGGAAGAAAAAAATATCTACAGCTACATGATTCTACAGTATGAGTAATGACCAATAGTTAATATTAGCCTTTATAGAATTCAATATCTTTTAATTCTAGCATGTAATTAAAATCCTCAAAAAAAAAATTCTTTCCCAGTTTTTAATTGTTAAGAGACTTTCCCATAGTAGAAGAGGCAATTTTGATAAGGAAGCATTCCAACTTTTTGAACAAATATTTTGGGAATCCTATTTTTGAAAAAATAATCCTAGCATTCCAAGCCA